TGGAATTGTATACAATCACCATGTCGGTTGTGTACTCATGCCACTGATATCTAGAATTTGAACCACAGATATTCCAACACTATCCTCCCCCACGAAATAATGTTAGATATTCATATCCCCAAGTTATAAATGATGTGGCTTCATTTGAAATATATTTCTTACACTGACTAAATTATTCATTAGAAATGACTTCATGATAAGGAGAAACAAGAGTGGATATGAAATCATACGAATTGTAATCAAGATCAAGTACATTTAGTATTTGTGCGTCGCATTGAATAAGTTTCCCATGAGAAACAGACGAATGATCGGGACAAATAATATTTAATATGATATCAGGATTCGATACTTCTGAATTATTTTTCTCAAATTTATTAAAAATGCAATTGAAGAATCAGCATCTATCGAAACTGCATCAGATTTTCGATCATGACTGGATTCATTCAACATATTTTCCTCAGATTGATAAGAAATTTCATCAGAAATATGTGAATCATTGGGACAAACCATAATTAGTACAATAACATAAGAAATCTGATAAGAAGTTGATTGATTAGAAACTTTTATCTCACCATGATCCTGAGTTTCAATTAACTATGGATTGCTATGTGACTCTATGCCGCTTTTTGAAGTCGTGGATAAAGATAGTGCCGATGGACTGGAAAGAAGGACACCTCATCAAGATTACAAATAAAGGAGACCTGAGCAAATGTGAAAACTACAGAGGAATCACACTACTATTAGTACCAGGGAAAGTCTTTAACAGAGTTTTGCCGAACTGGATGAAAGATGCAGTAGAAGCCCAACTTCTAGATCAACAGGCTGGATTCCGTAGGGATCGGTCGTGCACAGACCAAAATGCAACACTACGGATCATCGTCCAACAATCAGTTGAGTGGAACTCGTCACTGTACATCAACTTCATTGATTATGAAAAGGCATTTGACAGTGTAGACAGAAGAACGTTATGGAAACTTCTTCGACACTACGGAGTTCCTGAGAAGATTGTCAACATTATCCGAACTCATACGACGGACTACAGTGCAAGGTCGTGCATGGATTACAGCTGGCAGATGCATTCTAAGTAAGGACCGGAGTCAGACAAGGCTGTCTACTCTCTCCCTTCTTCTTTCTTCTGGTGGTCGACTGGATTATGAAAACGTCCAGATCTGAGAGAAAACACGGAATACAATGGACAGCTCAAAACCAAATAGACGACTTGGACTTCGCAGATGACCTGGCCCTCCTATCGCATACACACGAGCAAATGCAGATAAAGACAGCCAGTGTAGCAGCAGTCTCTGCATCAGTAGGCCTCAGCATACACAAAGGGAAAACCAAGGTCCTCGAATTCAAAACGAAGAACAGCAATCCAATCACATCTGATGGCGAAACTCTCGAAGATGTAGAATCCTTCACATACCTGGGAAGCATCATCGATGAACATGTCGGATCAGATGCAAACATAAAGGTGAGGATTGACAAAGCAACGGCCGCATTCCTACAGTTGAAGAACATATGGAACTCAAAACAACTTTCAACCAATATCAAAGTGAGAATCTTCAATACGAATGTCAAGGCAGTTCTACTGTACGGAGTTGAATCTTGGAGAACTACAACAACCATCATCAAGTATTTATAAATAGTTGTCTACGCAAAGTACTCAATATCCGTTGGCCGGGTATCATCAGCAAAAGCCTACTGTGGGAGAGGACAAACCAGCTTCCAGTTGAAGAGGAAATTAGGAAGAGGTTGGAAGCCGATAGGACATTGAGAAAACCATCAAACTGCATCTCGAGGCAAGCCCTAACTTGGAGTCGTGAAGGGAAGCGGAAAAGAGGAAGACCGAAGAACACATTACATCGGGAAATGGAATCAGAAGTGAAAAGGATGAATAGCAACTGGAAGGATTGTCCAGGACACGGTTGGATAGTGCTGGTAGGCGACCTATGTTCCTCCACGAGGAGTAACAGCCGTAAATAAGTAGGTTTAAAAAGTACAAAGGAAACATCTATTGTTCCCTGAAGGAGCTTACATCAAGTCAAGAAACGTGAGAAAAACAACTTTCTACTCATTGAGACATAACAATATATATATATATATATATATATATATATATATATATATATATATATATATATATATATATATATATATATATATTATTGACTTTCTACTCAATGCTTAATTTATTTGAAACTATCAAGTTTAACCTTAGCACTGATACCGAAAAACTGGTATTTTATAGTTTTTCTTTAACTTAGTGGTTTCACTGTTTATTGTAATGAAGTGGCACGAATCTTATCGACTAGATTATGAAGGGAATTGTCGACGAATAACAGTAGTTATTCGAGAAAAATCCATGTTTAGAATATTATTTTCACTAGTTGCACATGTTGACTACAAAATGCAGCTGCGTCTGTCACACTTTAACTACTCCCTTACCGAGTTTAGGTTTATTTAACGCTCTCTGAGGCATATTTTGTGTACGCTTGCAATGTTACCTTAATAACCAAAATGATGTGGATGAAGCGACATTTGAATTCATGAACTATAAACCGAATACTTTCACCGAGTAGCAATTATTCCCGAATGATTTAACTGAAATAACTTCGAAGTATTAATTCATAAAGCAGATGTGTTTACAACCAATGGATTGAAAAAAATGACATGTTCTCTGCAGTAACAGTTGTTGACAAATGTTTTTAGGGGAAAAGTTGTGTTGCAGCCTCCCAATGATCACTAACGCAAATTAAGTTGATAAATATGTACGAAGTTAGGCAAGATACACATTGAGTTAACATCATCATCCGATCGTAATAAAGTCAGACAACCACCGGCACCAAAATCAACACTTTAAAACAACTACCATCGAAGCACATTCTGAACAGACAAGATACCAAACTAAAAAACAAGAAATGGATTTTGAAATGACGAAGATTTGTAACTCAAGTGAACTGTAGGTTGGTTAATTTAGTTGTTGACGTCTTATAATCATTTTGAACATCATATTACATGCTTAAGACTACAGTAACATGTACCGTCTGGTAAGATATCATGGGACTCCCTCCACGAATGGTTAATTTACAATGATAAACTAATGGTCTATACACAATCACGCTTTTCGCGCTTGAGTCATCGTCAGCTGGTGCAAGATTGAACAATTCGCTCTTCTTTGACTTCTCAATCATTGATTGATTAAGCTAAGAATCATTGAGAGAATATCACAAGTCCAGCTGATTAGCAGTTTGTTGTAACGTGTGTGGACTGCAAGTTTTGATAAGCAGCATTTTATTGATCGATTCGGTGACAGTGACACGTACGAACGACCTGGTGCCCTGCTTCGCTGTCTGTCCTAGCCAGTTGAGTCAGGAATACAAGTCACAGCCTCTGAGTTATGAATCATTGTATTTCAGACATACTCTATTTATATACCAAACAAACAAACTACATCGTACCATAAAATAGAAAACAACATTTACACAATATTTAACAAGTGAAATAAACACCGACCAATAGGAAATGTACATTTAAGGTCCAAGGCCACCATAGACTTAATACGATAATTATTGGTATATTTTTCCTCAGCATCCATAACACACTTCATATTGAGTTCATGTTTTCTTTCAAGTAGTTTGCTACGGGTCATAACAACACCTAAATCACTACGACCTATCAATAAGTGATAACTCGAAATCGTAGTTGGGTTTCACTATTATAATAATCCAATCAAGCTATACTGTCTAAAACATTTTTATTTTAAGTCTTACCATACTAAATAGATTGGTTGGAGAACATTAAGAGTAAAAGCAACAATCTATGATCTGAGGTTGAGTTCTTACCACTGACTGTAGAGGGGTATGATGTTCCCTTACATATATAATATCTCTAAAAATGAAGAAGGGCTAGAAAATATCTACATTTCTTTGCCGCACGAATTTCTATCATTAGCGGAAAGTTCTTGAAAGTACTGAGCTAGCACATTGTGAACTCATAAGTATTAATTGTCTTATTTTTCTTCACAAAACCCTTAATAGGAAGAAGTATCAATTCATGATGTAGACGATAGAGAGCTCACAAAAGATGCCATAATTCAAACAGCTCTAAAAGAATCATAAATGACAACTGAACATCAAGAGTCAGTCAGTCAGTAAGAACGTAGAAATTCGTACATACGTACATCAGTTCGAGTTGCCACACCACATTAGCATAGACATGCAGTGGTCGATTCAAATCCTGTAGTGGTAGAGGTAATAAAAGTATAAGCAGTAATCGAGAAGATTAGTGTTTGAAGATGTTACTTAAAGAGTATAATACGGCGAAGTAAATTTGAGAGGAGAAAAAAAAGAGACAAGGAGGAATAAGGAGATCAAAATTTGGGAGAACACAAAGAGTGGATGCACCTGCGCCATTGCAAACGATTTTGAACAATGTCATTCAGGGTCTCTAATCATCGGTTGCTATCATCTCGCGGTCCCCAACCAGGTAATCTACACCTACCAACATGGCTCAGTCCACTTGTCAGTGACTTCATGGATGTGTGCCATGTTTTGGTCTGGCCACCCCTAGCTTTCTTCCAACCTACTCTTATACCACTGAACATTGCACGTCGAGGCAGTCGGTGATTGGGCATACGTAACACGTGTCCCAGCCATCTCATCTGATCAAGTTTCACTACGTCATCAATTGATTTGTCATCCTTACCTAGTACCCGTTTCCTAACAACTACATCACTTACTCGGTAGTCTCAGGATATACGAGCAATGTTTCAAAGTCACCTGTGATCAATTACTAGTAAATTACGAAAATCCTCTACTCTTACCGGCCATGTTTCACTGCCATAAAGTAGGACGGGACGAACTGCTGTGCAGTAAACAGGTCCTTTGGTTGATAGACGGATATCTCGCCTACGCCATAATTGACGCAAGTTGGTAAATGCTAGTCGGGTCTCCTGTATCCGTGCTGAGATTTACTCACACACCAGACCACAAGGGCTGATAAGACTTCCAAGATAAGTGAAGCGAGAATATCAAGAGAGAAAAAACGTTTGAAAAGTACACTGATGGAACAATAATCATTCATAATATTTCTTTTTGACAAAAACAAACAAAACAAAAATAAACTTGAAATCACTATGACCAAAAATGAAAATAAATAACCAAATGAATCTATGTTGTTTTGTTAGACTTTATAAACAGAAAGAAAGAGAGAAGAAAACAACAACAACAACAATAACATGAAATCAATGAAAAGAATCTTATCATATGAGAAGCAGCATACATATCTATGGGGGATGGGCAAAGTGTAAGCTGTACAAAAAAAAACAACTACCTATCACAGATGACAACTAAGAACGATGAATAGAAATAATAAAGAGGAAAACTTTATACAATTATAAAACTGTCCAAAAAAAACAAGAAAAGGGGGGGGGATCATATAACTTATTTATCATGTAATAATGTGTATCGGTTTATTTGTATACAATTTTTCATTGTTGTTATGTGTATGTGCGTGCGTGTGTATATAACATGAAAGGGGTTTACAATCTAATGGTTAAATACAACATAAATATTTCAATGATTTAATTATCATCATTATGAATGGATAATAAAGAGAAAATTTGATTAATTCAATAACAACAATTAAGAAAAAACAAACAAACAAACAAACGAAAGAAAGAAGAAAAAACAGAATAAAAAAACTTTTTTTTCAGAAGAAAATTAATAAACAAACAATAAAAAGAAAAAAGAATATTTATCATCATAAATTATATTCAATCTCTTTTTCATACAATTTTATTGTCTACAATCAATATTGTACGTTCGTTTACAATTGATGATGGTGATGGGGGTGAAGAAGTATTAGAGGATGTATCATGTATGATAGATGATGATGATGGTGTACGATCAACATGTTCTTCTGTATGATTATTATTATTATTATTATCAGAAAGATGAAGTGGGGGAGGAGGTGATGATAAATGGTCATTGTTTATTGTTGTATTTGTAGATTGTTTATCTAAATTATTTGATGAATTTGATGTCATAGCAGTAGTAGTAGTAGTAGTATTAGTAGTAGTATCGGTTAAGTTACGATTTGTAAAAAACAATTCATTTGTAATTGATGATGATATTGTATTACCATTATTATTATTATTGTTATTATTACTATTACTATTATTAAATGGTGTTTTTGGTGATAAACTTAAATAATTAGTTGTAACTGTAGCAGATTTATTAGAAATAATACGTTTATCATTAAATTCATCCATACCGAAACGTTCATTGTTTGAAGATCCAATTGCTATATTACCACGTGATACAATACCATTAATATTTGGTTCTGATGAACATTTATGTAATTTTGGTAATGAACGATATAATGAATCTAAACATGGATAAATCTATATAATGATATGATTGAAAGAAACAAAAGAAAAATAGGACCTCAGTAAATGAAACTGATTAGGAATAATCTAACAAATAGAATATTTACAGCTGAAAGGAAAATAATTCGATCGTTTAGCAAATTTCTCTGATGAATGATTTAATCTAAAGTTGGTTGGATGATAAACAAAGATGGATAGTGGTTAGCAGTGAAATCTAGTTTGACGAGCGTTTCGTCTTATGTGGGACTCATCAGTTGGATTTATCTGCATCCCAGAATTAGTTTTCACTTTGAGACTCGAACCCAGTACCGTTCGCTTTAAATGCTATCGCGTTATCCACTTAGCTACTGAATCCTGATACAAGTGAATTCGATCAGATTATATTTGAGAATAGTTTACATTAAGAATTGGACTAACTTCAGACAAACAATTTAACAAATACTATGAGGAGAATTCTTAGAAGTGAGAATCCATGACTAGTTGTATTCAATCACGAAATAAGGCATTACTAACAGTAACTGATGGTATTTGTACAGTATTATGGGTTGATTAAAGATAGTGCTTTTGTTTTTTTTTTATAAAAGTCAAAGATAACAGGTTTGATGAATGATATACAATGTGAGGACTGTTAAGATTATAATAATTTCAGACAATTTCTGTAGGTATAGTTTTAAATCAATTGACATAGATCCAATATATCGATTCATACACGAAAGGTTAACCAGTCATATGATGAGAGGTCAATCGAAGGACAAGATAGTCAGTAGGAGTGTAAAAACAAGTAAAGAAAACAAGACCATCAAGAAGATGATGTTGCATAGAATGACAATGAAGGCTTAATAATAATGCCATTCAATGAAGAAAAAAAACATAACACCAACAAGCTCTATAAAGTTATCATTGTCAGAATATTACAGAATGTTTCTCTAAGTCTGTTCAAAATAAACTCGGAAAAACCGTACACTTAATGGTTCATTGGTTAACAAATAAACACTCTTTTAGTGACACTTTAAATAACGTTAGATTTATGAAATTTTTTTCTTCTCATCGATATGTTGAGTGATCGTATGTTATATTTGTACTCAGCTTTAAACTATACAACTTAAATTATTATACTTAAGTACATGAAGTGGAGTTAGAATATTTAACGTAGTGATTGAAAGTCAGTAGTTTTCTGCTAGACACGACCATAGGATTGTAGACTGATTAGTTTATGATGAGCCACAGTACACTCAGACTATTTTGTTGACGTTCGTGAGATTATCGTGACCAATAGTTGGAGACGTTGAGTGTTATGACTCAGAAATAATCAAAATACTTCAGATACATTCACCCTTTATCTTCTCTTAATTCCTTAGTTTGCAAACTATTTCACACATTTCATACTGCAAATTTATTGTTCCCTGTCAAATCGTAAAGTCTATGTCAAATCTTTCTAATTACCAATCATACTGTTACTACTTCTACTATTTTAGCGTTCATCTTGGTAACTTTATCTCGCAGTAATTATAGACCAATGTACATATGCTTTCACAAAGCCACATATATACAGTCACTGCCTTCTCGCACCATGGGTGTTGTTAACAAAATTAAGAGGACGAAAAGCGAATGTCTGGCACACTAACCAATTTTCTGGATACGAATGATGCACCTAGGAGAGTTGGAAAACGCTGATTCTAAACCAATGGTTCACATTGACTGCATGGTTTTGACAGAACAAATAGCGTATATACTTGTTTTTGGTCACCAGCTACCATCAGATTGCATCTCTTTACGTTGTTCCAATGCCTTATGTATCAGACCTTTAGGTCGAAGGCACTAGGTATGACCCTCTAAGAAAATCACCTGCTTGGGTCTAGGTACCCGGGCAGTATCACAGGCCACACACATCAAGTGACCTGTGCGGCGCATATGTATTTGGTGCTCTCTTGTACCAATGTTTATGTGTTCAAATAAATAAAATACATGTTTTATATTGTTGATGATTGATTGACGATGTGACATAAACTAATTATTTGGAATACAAATTAAGCTAAACTAAAAGTTTTTTTATTAATTAGATTCTAGGTAAACATTGATTGCGTAAAAGTTCACATACACAATAAAATCATGAAAATTAATTAACATTAAAACAAAGAAAACAATGTTTAATTTACCTGAGAGAATGGTGGTCGATTTTCACGTTGAAAACTGCAACAATCTAATGATAAACGTTGTAATTGATGAGGGATATCTGCACGACATACAGTTAGATCAGGTTTTAATAAACCTCGACCAACAAGAAATAAAATTTGATCACGATTATTATAATGAGAATAAGGTAGTTGACCAGTAATCAATTCATAAATCACTACACCATATGCGTATACATCTGAAAGATTAGTATATGGTGTTTCACCTTCCATACGAATAACTTCAGGAGCCTAATAAAAATAAATGTTAAAGGATGACATGATGAATAAGATGAAGTAAATCAACTGTTTCTAGGTAATGTAACAAGTGAAAATGTGAATTAATCTTTAAGTAAGCCTGTATTATTATTATTATTCTACTTACCATCCAAAATATAGATCCAGTTGGTTGTTGACAACCAGTATTCCACCAACGACTTTTTACTGTGGCCAAACCAAAATCGCCAATTTTCACAGTACGATCATGTAAGAATATATTACTTGACTTTAAGTCACGATGTATTATATTCTTAGCATGTAAATAACTAGAGAATGGATACATGAAAAAATTTTAATAGGAAATAGGACAAAATAATTGGAGTATTTCAGTCATAGAAATCTATTAGTATAGGCAAGTGGGGTGTTGTGGAGATTATTTAACCCTGTACTTTTACATTATAGACTGATTTTAATTAAATAACCGTGCTGGAAACAAAACAAATGTCCAGTGCCTCCTGGATTTTAATCTTTTTTGAGCAAATTCAGTCTATCATGTGAAACCATAAGAATTCCATTGGATTACATATTTATACATTCGAATGATAAGTCCGCAGGTTGTAATGAAACGTGTCTCCTTCAGAGCCACTTTAACATTAGGTTTAACTGTTTCATGACAGAGAAATTTAATCGCTGTTTGGTGTAATCCATCCAGTTGGAGACCGGGAATAAAACAATATATATACGTGATACAGTTAATTCCTAATAGATAAAATCCAATGGATTATAGATGCACTATTGCACTGTCATCGAGTGGTAAGCGATTCCTGCCGGTAACCTCTAACAGCCTAACATCTCATAGTAGTGCACGCAATGTCGAATAATAAAGATTAGTACTTATAATGATATATGATTGGTAAAATCGGATCATCACTAAAAAAATTAAAAAAACATGAGCAGTCAATGTAATTGTTTCAGTCTTACGAGTCAGTCGTAGCTCCAATGACCCAGTGGGAATGTTTCAGATCATAAAGCTGGGTCATCCCTGTTCGAATCCACTAATTATTAGTTTAGTTAAGACTGTGCCAATTAAAATTAAACCTAGGTTCAGAGTTTTCTGTCTACCACCTCAAACCACCTGACATTTTAAATGGTCCTGTTAAATGCTTCCAGGCTGATATAAGAGACGATTTAACTGTGAGGTAAAAAGCTTTCGGATTAGACGCCACACCACTCAACATTATGAATGGTCAATTCCCGAGGATACTATAAAAGATTCCATATATCCACTCACCATCGACTGGAGCGGGAAATAAACTTCTGTCATGTTAAACAGTTGCAAGCTTAGTGCTAAAATTATTGAGGAATATTCGTGTTGCGTTCACAAATGAGTTGACATTTCGATTTGCGTAGCTAGTAAATTGGGAATTATATTGTCATATCGCATGATAACCTTTGTAATTTAGTCGAAATCTTCTAAGGAGGAATCAAATTATCTAGATTTGCTGTTAGTAAACTTCAATTCTAGTGAATAATTAAGTTCTTGATAGCTTCCAACTTATAATATCACGCTGTTAACCTTTTCTATTTTCTGAATAAATATTTCCCGTTTTAGTATCCTACTTTGTTACACGTTTACAATGTCATTGCTATTACAATATAAACAGAATGATTATGTCACATTACGACTTAGTTTAGATGTGAATGAAGGTAGTTGACAACTTTGGACCTAGGTTTCGTAGTATATGGCAAGCATTAGCAAGGACTATCTGTAATTTTGAGGGAACTTCTATTGTCTGGTGGACACGGTCCAGCATTACTTAGCTTCACAGTCTAAAACATTACCACTGAGCTATTCGGGCCGCAACTGATCACCTGCAGGAATGAGATATTCACACCTGATTGACCACTGATTCGTGTCATGTTATGATAAATATGACATTGTCCACTACTCAATAATCAATCGATTGTATGTTACGACTCCATTTTGAGAAAAATGAAGCTCCTTTGAAGGTATCATCTTATCGCTCTCTTTTTGTTGATTCGCGTGTGGATTATTAACATTGACATGTTGTTGCGTATGAATCGTTCGTTCACATAGATTCCGTTTTATATTGTAAGAATATTCTAATAGTTCAAAATCTATAGTAAAATGATTTTGGATCATTCAAGTACAGTATAATTCTAATCATTCGATTAGTGAAGTGTCAAATATAATTCACGTGGTAAATATTATTTCATTTACATATTATTTACAAACAATATGCTAGGTTTTGACAGGTGACTGAATTATATTTGGATTAGCGCTAATTGTATTGACAAAAATGGTAAGAATTGTATCGAGGATAAACACTCGTAAATGATGAGGAAGTTCTAGATAAAAATACTTCAGAGAAAGTCTCAAAGCATTATATCAATAGAAACAATGACATATATCTGATTCATCATGTTATAAGGAGAACGCCAACCACATGGTCAAGGTCAACAGGAGTGAGCAGTTAACGAAAATTAAGATGCATGGAACTAACACGACTCGAACAGATACTCCGTTGCAAACAAAGCGATCAGCAGGACCAATTGATTTAGAGTTTGTTAAATGGTTATTAGATAAGTTAGGGAGGTCAGTGCCTAACACGAACTAGTGAAAACAATGCAAAGTTACTTACATCAGTCGATTTACAGTACACATACCAGTGAACAACATAGAAAGACGACAAATCCACTACAAAATGAAACACTTACTCCATTCCCTGTGATGTTTGCTTGGCAATATCGACTAGTTCTGGAACATCAAAACGATGCTCTAACACATGAAGATGTTTATACAAACTGGACCCTTCACACCATTGAGTGATGATAGCTATACATGGTTTAGAGACACAACCCATAAATAAAAGAATATTTTCATGTCGTGTCTTTCTAAAATTAAAATGTTTAAAAAAAAAATGAAGAAACAAAGAAATTCTCAAACAAAAAATAACCAAAATCAGTTTTATTTTATTTATTTATTTTAACACATAGATATTGATACAAGGAGGCACCAAATAGATATGCGCCGCACAGATCTCATTTGATATGTGTGAGGGCTGTGAGACCGCCCGCGTGCCCAAACCGAAGCAGGTGGCTTTCTTAGAGAGCGCCACACCCCGAGCCTTCGACCTGAAGGTCTGATCCACAAGGTAGTGCAGCATCGCAAGGAGATGCAGTCCCATGGTAGCCCGTGACCAACGATTGGTTCATACGCCATTATTTCCCTCAGGATACTGGAGCCAGCCCATGTGCACCATTGGTTTGGAATCAGGGTTTCCAAACTCCCCTAGGTGGACTCTCCTGTCCACCAACCCGGTTAAAGCGCCGGACGTTCGCTTTTCGTCCTCTCAATTTCGTAAACAACACCCCCGCCACGAGAAGGCAGTGAGTAGGACTTCCCTGGCAGAGGCTATATACGCGTGAGAGCATTTCGAGAGAGAGAGCGAACTCTCCCCACTCTCGGCCGTACCAGGGTATTTGGGAGCACTAGTTCCTAATCATTAGAGAAATTAGTGATTTGTTACTAAGTCCACATACTATTTATCAACTTGAATTCATTGTCTGTTCTGACAAGCTGGACAAGTCATATATTGTACCCAGGATATGTTACGTAACATTTAGGATAACTTGACTACCCATTATACTATAAAGTGGTCTATCAGCAGTTAATAGTATGTAGATTTTTCCAGTTAGAAAATAATTTTCATCATGGACTGATAACAACAACAAATGAATAATTTGGATTGAAAATTAAACAAGAACGTGCGATTTTTAAAAAAAAGTAATTACCTCAATACACTGACTTCATTTTTGAAAGCTTTCAATTGTTGTGGTGTAGGATCAACAACATTCAATTCTTTAATAGCAACATTTCCATGCCAATAACCTTTAAATACAGTACCAAATGATCCAGAACCGATTCTTGGACCTTTAGTAATTTCTTGTCCATTTATCTCCCATTCATCATTTGAACCACGTCTCTAGCGATAACAAATATAATTTACATCCACATGGCAACGATGAGTATAAGGCAAAAAAAGGTGGAAATATATGAATATACATTTATTTACTGTTTTTTTTATTAAAATTTTTAAACTAAAACTGGGGTTTATCTTGCGTGAAGTGTAATAAATGAAAGAATACTAATGAATAAAGTCAGTTAATCCCAACGTCAAACCTGGTACGTATGCACATTGGTTCAAGTTGCCATACCCCGTTAGCACATAGAGATAAAGTTGTCAGTCTAAATCCCAGAATAGTAGAGATAGTAACGGTATTAGTGGCAATAGAAAATTTTAGGCATTGAAGATACGATTCAAAATATAAATTAGTGAAATATAAACACAAGGAATGTTAAGAGGAATTCAGAAGCTCAGAATTTCGGGGAAGACAAAGAATAGATGCACCTGAGTCACTGCAAACGATTCTGAGCCATGTTATTCAAAGTCTTAAACTATTGGTTATGATAATCACATGAATGAATTTAGACTGTTGTTTTAAAAAAGCAACAAACTAATGAACTAGTGATGAATTTAATATAAGATAGTTGGATATAATCGACAGACAGTCGATTATAATCAAAGTAGAACCTGGTACATATGTGTATCGATTCACGTTGCCACACCATATCAATACAGTGAGATGAATTCATCAAGATAAATTCCAGAGTGGTAGAAGTACCAAGCGTATCAATGCTAAAAGAAAAGATCAGGCATGAACAATATGATATGAGAAAAAATAATGAACTTTCAAAATAGAAAGTGTAAGACAAAAAGTGGATGGATTTGTACCATTGTGACGGTCTTTCAGTCACGCCACTCAGCGTCTCCAACCATTGAGTTAAGATAATCTCGAGGAATCCAACCAGATAATCTGAACTTATCAAAATAACTCAGGCCTAAAGTTAAAAATTTCATGAACTGATGCCATGTCTTGTATTAACTAAACCTAGATTTCGACAGAAAATACAAAATATAGGGTTTTGTGTTAGCTGGAATTCATCATGAAGATAATTTTCTTTAGAAATTTCAGAAAATTGATGCTAAAAACCTATCAGATGTAGGTTCAAGTACTCAGCTTTGAGTCAAACTCTGCCAAAACACAAGTACAAGAAAGAGCTAATATCAATATCCGTCTAAGTTGGAGTGGATAGAATAGTGTTTGAATCTGCTTGAAAGAAATCGAATACGTTAATTACTACATTGCGCCGCTCTAGGAAGTATTGTTCCTGAGATCATCGATGTGATACAAGTCTGGGGAAGGATGACAATGATGTTCTTGAGTAAAAAAGTTTGATTTTCATTGATTCATGAACATTCACAATGTTAGAGATAGACGTAGGGCATTATCGAAGGATGGTAAATCGATTGATGAGGCAGTAAACCTTCGTCTATGTTGTAACGGGTGTGACTGCAGGCTTTTGATAAGCAGCGTTATCTATCGATCGCGATCTGTGACAGTGACACGGAAAACACGTACGGACGACCTAGTGCCCTGATTGGCCCTGCTTCGCTGTCCGTCCTATCCCAGTTGAGTGAAGAACACAAGTCACAGCCTCAGAGTTATGAACCATTGTACTTCAAACATACTCTATTTATATACCAAGCAAACAAACCACATCGTACCATAAAATAGGAAACAACATTTGTACAATATTTAACAAGTGAAATAAACATCGACCAATAAGAATGTACATTTAAGGTTTAAGGACACCATTGGACTTAACATGATAATTATTGGTCTCTTTTTCCGACTATCCTAACACCTCCCCGTTTTTAAAAAAGAAGATCCGGAGTTAATATCTGGATTTTAAAATTTTCTGCGTCCGTCCTCCCCCGCGAAATAAGGTTGGGTCCTCATATACCCAAGTAACAGTTAGTCTGACTCTATTTAAAGCATATTTCGCGCATTGAGTAGAGGGTTCACTAAAACTGACTAGATGATGAGGATTAGCGACACCAGACATGAGGTCATTAAGGTTTGATTTTGGTGCAACATATTCTTCAGACCTCTCCAGAATTCCATCACTGGATAATAGGTCACTAAAATAGACAGCATCTTCGAAATTTGTATTTGATTTCTGACCATTATTTGATGCACGGGAAACATTTTCTGGCACGAGAGGTTCTTCATGTAAGCTGGATACCTCACATGTTTCAGGCACAGTGGGATTTGAACCCACAACATGGCATGCTTCTGAATTGGGCACTTCTGGATCGCTGGACGGATTATGAGCGACTCCCTCATTTGCATTACTGATCATAAGGGATTCATAAAGGCTGTTGTTTTTATCTTCATATGTCCTGCAGTCATTCTCGAGTTCAGTTTGTAAGTGAGAAATGAATTCATCAGTTTCTTTCACATCTCCGAAACATGGGAGATCTAGCAGTCGCGTTCGCAAATAGTCCAAAACACGCTGTTGCTGGCGATATAGTAGTAGCTGCAATTGATCGGGAAGGCTAGTCATTTTCTGAGTCAGCAGGGTAATGAGAAATACTGTAATGGATTAACAACCAATGATTCCCAAGGACGCCGATGACAAATCTGGATACTGACTGGTCAAAATAATTATGCTGAATCTCGTCCAATTAGAGGGTTCAAAATTTTCTCTACCCCGTCGCCAATTGTTGTAACGGGTGTGACTGCAGGCTTTTGATAAGCAGCGTTATCTATCGATCGCGATCTGTGACAGTGACACGGAAAACACGTACGGACGACCTAGTGCCCTGATTGGCCCTGCTTCGCTGTCCGTCCTATCCCAGTTGAGTGAAGAACACAAGTCACAGCCTCAGAGTTATGAACCATTGTACTTCAAACATACTCTATTTATATACCAAGCAAACAAACCACATCGTACCATAAAATAGGAAACAACATTTGTACAATATTTAACAAGTGAAATAAACATCGACCAATAAGAATGTACATTTAAGGTTTAAGGACACCATTGGACTTAACATGATAATTATTGGTCTCTTTTTCCGACTATCCTAACAGTCTATGAAGGTGGTTGGGACATGTATTACATATAACCAACTACCACTTGCCTCAACATGTGATATTTACTGGTGTAGAAATAACTTAGAAGGAAACTAGGGGCAGCGAAAAGGTGTGGCACTAGTCTAAGAAATCACTAACGATTGGACTAAGCCATGGAGATATATGTAGATTATCTGGTTAGGTTTGTGCGATTATTGTAGGTAATGGTTGGCGACTTTAGATGACATGCCTCAGAATCACTTGCAGTGGCGCAGGTGCATTCACTATCTTTGGTTAAGTTCTAATTTTTCAAATTACCTTATACATCTTTTTTATTTGACTAATCAATATTTTCTTCTCGGAAAATATCTTTTCTGCTTGATCTTTTTTAATACTACTAATACTGATACTACCTCTACTACCATTGGATGTGCCTTAATAATGTTATTTCGCTATGTTAATAATGTTCGGCAACTTGAACCGATATACATATGTGCCAGGTTCTACGTTGTGCATGACTGACTCACAACTAACTCCCTCTAAAGTAAATCAATGATGTTCGTAGAGGATTTTAAACATTCACACTGATTATTGAATCAATGGGCAAACTTAATATGTGGTATATTACATGAATGTTCATACATAACTATAATTAAAACTCTAATTTTTCTTGTAAATATTAAAGACTCAATAGAAACACAACAACAATATGTAGTTCTTAGCTAAAGTCTTTGAAAATCAACGAGCTGTTTAATTTCAGCATGGAACATTCTTTATCACAATGTATAATGTTGTCAGATAATGAACCACAATCTTGATATATCCTCCTTGACAATAATATTTTCAGTGCACAAACAAAACTTCATCGATGTACATATATATAAACATTTTTTTTAAAAAAAAAGAGAATAAAAATTTACATTTTTTACTTTGATAGATTGTTTTGGATCACTGCCAGATCTTTGATTATATGGTATAGATAAATTTGATAGAAAACAACCATCATTGGGAATTGATGGACTTTCCGGTACTCCATTACCAGTTGTATAATTATAATCTATATAAAATAAATGAACAAAAATAAAATGAAAGTATACGATCTGGACGACTTTGAGAGACCTACTAACCAATTAGGAAACAAGATTTAGGTATTAAAAAAATTCGACGATAAATAATAAAATTTCAGTGAAATAATAGTTGAAATAATCATTATACTAAAAGAGGAAAAAAGTTAGATCTACATTTTAAAAGTTAAGCTAGTGTTGTGAATTAGGTTTGTAATCCTATAGGGTTTTTGTTCTTAACCTATGTAATAAGCTATAATTCATGTAGGCTTGGGTGAGGTAATAAGTGTTAAGCTGAAATTACAAGTTGGAATTAAGATTAGGGTTTTCAATTATAATGCGACAAAGCTTTCAGTCAGTCAGCAGTCAGCTACAACGTAGGACCAGGCACATATGTGCATCGGTCCAGGTTGCCATACCTCATTAGCACAGCAAGATGAACACCGGATTCATAGGAGTGGTTAGGTCAAAGGTTGCAATAAGGATATAGTATAGGAAGAAAGAATTAGTTCGTAGACAGAAAGAATGAAGTGATTTTAGTCTCTTAGTTTAAGGGAAGACAGGGAGTGTATACACCGACGCCATTGTGATCGATTCTGAGCCATGTCACCAAGAGTCTCCAACCATTGGTTACGAAAGTCACGCGGACCCCAACCAAGTAGTCTGCATCTACCAACATGGCTCAGACTAGAAGTTAGTGACTTCAGGCACTGATGCCACGTTTTGGTTTGGCCGCCCCTAACTTTCTTCCAACCATCCCCTACCCCGGTTAGCATTGCACGTCGTGGTAATCGGTGTTCAGGCATACGTAATACGTGGCCCAACCATCTCAGTCGATGAAGATTCATAACCTCATCAACTGATTTACCATCATCCCCTAATACCCTGCGTCTAACCTCACTATTACTTACCCGGTGTTCCCAGCAGACGCCAGCAATATTTCTAAGGCATCTGTGGTCAAATACTAATAGCTTACGAGTGTCTTCTACTCTTAATGGCCATGTTTCGCTGCCGTAAATTAAAACAGAACGAACTGCCGCGCAGTATACTCGTCCTTTTATTGATAGACGGATATCTCGCCTTCGCCAAAGGTGACGTAAGTTGGCAAAAGCCAAACGAGCTTTTCGAATCCGTGCTGAGATTTCGTCAGACACCAACCCATTAGGGCTGATCAGACTTCCAAGATAAGTGAAGTTGTCAACGCGTTCAACTACTTCACTCCCTATCCTTAGTTAGGGAGTGAAGGGAGTGAAGTAGTTGAACGCGTTGACAACTTCACTTATCTTGGAAGTCTGATCAGCCCTAATGGGTTGGTGTCTGACGAAATCTCAGCACGGATTCGAAAAGCTTTACAGCTTTACAGCCATTTTGTTTACGAACTTAATAAATGTAGAGCTGTTACTTGAAGTGAGTAGCACGAGCTTAAACACTATGTTATACTGACTGTTTGGTTACGTGGTAAATACTTGTTTGTCTTAGGAACAAAAAGTGTTGCCGATTTTCATCCAATCAATAATAATATACAAGATGTTTGACTGCGCAAAAGTCCACAATGCACTATCGCAATCCTGACTGGTTCACTCAAGGCCGTCAGTACCGTATAGTTTCAACGAAAATTATTTGTCTTGTTAAGACGTCATAACCTACGAAAGTCTTTACTATTTAGCTACTTCTCATTATATATTAAATGTTCCTCAACAGCTTAAAGACCGACAATTAAAGATGAGATTTTAAAGCTATGCATCACTGATTAGACATTAAATGAACAATATATTTAAGACTATCATTGATGTTAAGCAATGAGATCAGATACATACATATGAGCAGTATAGAATCTGGAATTTGTCCATTTACATATCACAGAAGTGTAAGAAATAATAAAAGTGAAATCAGTGACAATCTGTTAACGAGAAAGTAAAGTAAAAACAGTTCGGAATAAAAAAATTAATGAATACATTACTGTCATATTGAGGGTCATTGGTGATGAGACTCACTGAAACACAATAACCACCGTGGATAAACGGAAAGACCAATATCAAACTACAAGTACCTATCTACCTACCGATCTGTACTGACCAACCACTTCGGATTATAAATGGCTAAGGATGCTTATTGTTCTATTGAAGTAGCAGCCAGTCCATACTCAATATTAATTACGCGCTTTTCGTACACTTGTTTTAAAACCCTGAACACATATTATGATGGACTGACTTATCAACAACTCAGATCATTATACATTTAATGATCCAAGAAATAATTAAGTGTATTATTATTGCAACGCTACGTGTAAATGATTCAATTACACATAGAATCTGTTTAATTTATTCCCATAATCTATACTGAAGATATGATACTGATTGAGTGCTAATGTCTATAAAATAATGCCTCAACAGATATTTAGTAGTGCTCGCAGAGTGACAAGGAAAGTCTTTGCCAAAACAGTTTCTAATGCTTTGAAAGAAGCCGATTACACAAGGACAACACTAGTGACTAAATACTATTAATATTATCATAGAACACAAATAAAAAAGGTTAATTGAAAGCGATAGCTGACACGAATTAATCAAGAGACAAGAATAAGACGAAGAGCGGTTCGTATTGTTATAAAAAAGGAATATCATGTTAAAGTGCGATGATTTGCGACTGATCCGATGAATTGATGTACAGATAAGACCAATTCACGACTAACCGCATAACCCAAATATTAACAAAATGCCCACCCCCTCAAATTAATAGAGAATAAAAGACGATAACCAGCCAACAAAATGGCACACAAACGAAATATTTAACATGTAAACATACATGATTAAGAGTCAGTGTACCACGAGAACTTTTTAAATTATTCACCAGGTAATTTAATCTAAAAATGACTATAAGAATTAATTTCTGCTATTTACATTATTCAATTATCCGACTACAGCCTAATATAGAGTGAGAAGATTGATTTTAGTAATAATTATGACAACAGTAATAATAATAACACCATGTTTGTAACTCTAGTAAAATTTTGTAGTACCCAACTCCCGGTTTGCCAACACCAGCATATGAATGCTACTCAAGATATATTAATAAAAGACTCATATTGAGTTGGGAGGAGGGAAATTAGAATTTACTAACTAAAACACTTGATACCTAGTTAAAACAAGCGTAGTGAAATGGATAATTGGTTTATCACTGTATTACATCACAGGTCGCAACTCTTCATGACAAATGATCATAAATTAAGAAGTTAATCTAAATATTTCCTCAGAAACACTGCCGAGACTATTTCACTTTAATTGCTTATCACTGGGTGAGTGTTAAGACTAGTGTGTCTTTCAATGCAAAAGCAATATGATATATATATATATATATATATATATAATGGTGCAATGATGTAGTAAACTAGAAAATACTTACTTGTAACCGGATATACAATGTGTAAAGGCGATCCTTGAATAATTTTATTTGCCTCTCGCTAAAAAATTGTATACAGAAGTAGAGGGTAGAAAACATAACAGAATCAACTGAATCTGAGGTTAAAATGAGAAAATTATTCATAACCATGTCCCATGAACAAACAATTTGAATATCATGTATTACAACTAAACACACTTGTATGAGCACACATAAACAACTCAAGAAATGTAAAACAAGTTTCTTAACTGGGCAGAAATGTGTAAATCAATAACCAGCTACCCAAACGAAATGTTTGAAATAAAATAACCAGAAAAAAAGGAAGTGTTTTACAAACTACACATTCGTGTCAAATAAAACCAATAACGTGGTTCTGTGAAACCTACTGAAGAATCCATTGAAGCACAGAATGACCGCACCCGACGTATGCCAAAATATGTAGTTGGTGAGAGAGATAGCTTTGATATATGATCTGGGCATAAATTTTGGTTTGGTGAATAAAATCTTTCAGGTAGTAGTAGGATTTTGTAGTCTTGTGAGGTCGGCTCTTGTTTATTAGAAGATAAATTATGTGTTTTACGTGAAAGACTACGGAGACTGGTATTATCTGTCAACACTATATTCAAAGGATTCTCAGAAAAAGCTTCGTACAATGAGCACGATGTAGATAGTTGGCTGGTTGTTGAAAACGTTTCTTTAGAAGTATTTTTTGTAGGAAGAGGAAGGGAATGGAGACCGATTGGTTGGCAATTTTCATAGATACCGCTTGATGACTTACTACTATTACTACTACAACTACTAACATGAAGCTTTATAGTAGTGTCACATCCAATGGTTAGTAATTTACCATATGAATTATAAGGAACATGAAGATGACTCTTATAAGCTACAGAATTGTGCCCACGCTCATTAATACACGATGATATACTTCTAGGAAATATTGTACTACTGCGAGATTTCATAGATAACTCTCCGCAAACTTTATCATTACAATTATATGTAGACATGTATTTTGCATCGATCGGCTTCATTGTCGTCATCGTCACCGTCGGAGTTTTATGATAAAATAAAAGCGAACTATTAGTATTTACCAGTCTGATGTTATCAAGAGTACAATGTTTTAATGGATATGTTGGAGCAGACAAAGTGGATAGTTTTCTATCCGAATATTTACCATTGCAACGAATCTTGTCAGAATTTGTATTATTATTATTACTTTCAAAGTTATCGCCATTCACGCAGATGATAGGACAAAGGGAGTTTGAAGTCTCCAACTGTTTATCAGTCATAGTATTTTTGAAACAAGATTTAGATGGACGATCACAGTGATGGTAGTATTGATAATTGCTCTCGTGACTACTTGTATTAGTCCCAGTGCAAAATGAACATGAAACTAATAAGTTGGAAAGTAAAGATTTTATACTCTTAGAATGGTTTGGTTTACACACAGGTGAAAATACATTATGAACAAGTTTAGGATATAGTCGTCTACATCGAAAGACAGAAAAAAAGTGATGAGAGTAAAAATGTGCAGAAAAACGATTGCGTCACACACAAGGATAAATAGGGCAATATACACATTATTAATAGTAGGAAAACAAATTGCATACCCATACATGTATATACAGTAGTATCGGAACAGCATATGAAAACAACAATCGGAGAATAACAAGATGTAATGCAACAAATACTTCATCTTAATAAATATTAACATTCTGAACAAAATAAATCAAATGATGATTCCTCAATTAAAAAACAACAAATTATCAACTAACTACCTTTCCAAGTGAACTGGGAGTGAATAAACTTTTCTGTTGATTTGGTGGAATTAAATTGTTCGATACATTCGGTGTTGACGATGAACGTTCTCTACAGGTTAGTGACAAACACTGACGAGGAAAATGTCCACCTCCACTTCCGAAAGATGTTGGAAGATATTGACTATTCAATAGAAGATTATTACTATCGAAACCACCTCCAGTAGAATTAGTCAATACACGAACTGTTGTTAGGTCTTCAGGATTAAAATGATAGAAATGTGTATAGCCTGGTGTTGCATTTGAAGAAACTAACCAATTTGATCCGTGTATAGATGAATTAGAAGTACCCAAAGAGCTATTTATGGAAGGAGAGGTTAATAAATAACTCCAGTATTGAAACAGACAATAATCATGTAACGAAATATGTGAGATATGATGAAGTTCAATCATACAATCCTATGTTAATTAGCAGGTTTTCTTGTCAACCACGTTATTAGACAGCTACACACAATTCCGCTTTACAGAAAAAAGTAAGAACACTTCCCTTAAAATTCCTATGATGAAAAAATTGATTGAAGTGGAGGAAAGTGAAATCCGCCACTTTAATAATGAGGCCTGCTGTAAGTGTCTTACTGTTGTTTGAACAAGTGTGAAATCGTGAAAGTGTTTTTCGATCGGTCAGCATTTCAAGACCAATCGTGGAATACCAGCCTAGGTTCATAATGTACAAATTGCAAGCAAAGTATACTTAAGATTTTGATGGCTTCTAATTTTTGAAAGTCAAATATATAGGATAAACGTTAAGGAACTATTAACAATGACTTACTTTCGACTGCTTAGTTGATCACCAACATAGAAAACATCATCATCTAAATTGGACAAGCAATTCTTATCGACACGCGGAAGACAACGATTATGATAGGCGCAACCACAGGCTTTACATATAGCACCTTTAAATGTAATTTTTTTATACAAACGTATAAAAAAATGAAAACAACTTACCATGGAATATAGACTTATGGCATAGATTACAATAAGCCTTTTCAAAAAATGTCTTTCTTTGAAAATGATGTTCTAAACGTTTAAAGTTTCGTCGAGCAAAATCAACTATTAATTCTTCACCAATTAAAGCAATTTGTTCAGCGTCATCTTCCCATGAAACTGGTAGACTAGTTCATTTTTATATTTGAATCCCGAGCAAAATTTCAAAAAAATAAAAACAAATTATAATAAATGAGGATTTAATCACAAGACGAATATTTACATGAATAGTAATGGAAAAGTGAAAAATATTCTGCAATATTATGCTCTGAACCTGCAACAGTATAACAACTGATGATCGAGTACTTTGATGAAGACCGTTCATTCGACTACTACAACAAAATGCAGGATACGGGATCCACGAATTACCCATCACTTTCCCATCAAATGTAAATAAACAACCCCATAGGAATATTGAACACTCAGCTATAGGTGACTATATCTTGCAGAGTGAGGAAATGAACTCATCAAAGCATTTTGCGATATAAACTCTACAGGAAAGCAGGAGACGAAACAGTAGCTATCATTATCTACAACATACACCAATTTTAATATTTAAAGACTGATCTTGTCTGATGTAACATGTAAAGCACACAGGAACACGGAATATTCTACTGATTTCAAAACGTTTAAGTCAATGAGGTAAGAGCAAAGATGATTTCCTAATTCCATGCAATTAATTTACGACTGATGCAGAGTATCAAACTTAGGAAGTGAGTTAAATACATTTTAAACTTTACGTTATTATGCAGTGGGGAGATACTAAAACGTATTTTTCAAAGTAACACTATACAACTTGAAGAACATCATACATGAAAGTAGTTGGTGGAAAGTTGTAGACAGTGGGCACACGGTGATCATTATATAGAAAAAATTCGAATGAAACTCAACCTAGCCCATATAATTCAGTTTCAAAAGCGTTTCTATTTCATATTATTGTTACGACACAATATGTTGGCACGTTTGTAAGATTTATACCCAGGACTTATATTTTAACACAACTTTTGAGAGATCCTAGCATATATAAGTACGTACTTATAAAATAGTAACCAAGGGAAATAATTACCCTGTACGTGATCGGTAAACAATTAACTGTTCTAAGTGTAGACCACGATGTGATAATTTCTTTTCTAAAGCATGTTTGATTTGTTGTCCAGATTTAATTTCAACTAATGTAAATTGACTGTTTGGAAAGTGTGCACGTAAACGTAATTTTGTTGTTGTTGTTGTTGTTGGGTGAGATGATTTAAACTCAGAAAATTTATTATTAACACTTTGTAGAGTTCCTAAAGATGAATTATCTAGTTGAACTGGGGAGTTCGTTGACGATAAGAACACGGATGGAAGAGACGGAGATTGAGATGACGCAACAATAGGTAATTTAGTTGACCCAAATGTCAAATTGATACTGTCATCCCCATTGTTATTATTATTAAGATTACTAACATTACTACCGTTAGTTGTACTATTAGTACTGTTATTTAACACCACAGTTGTCACCATCATCATATACTGATCAAGTTTCGATTTCCAATCTTCCAGTTCACATGTATACCTATCTATGGCTGACTGAACAATATTAATATCGTTAGAAACCTCATCGTATTCTTTTGTAATTAAACCAGAGAAATCTTCGTGACGATTGATGAAATTTAATAGTTGATAAGTTTTCAATTGTAAGGCCTGATTAACCAAAGTGAAATCTGCTATCTATCAAAAGAAAAAAAACCAGGAACAAAAGTAACATCTCTAACAAATGATAAAATAGATCAGAATAAGACATCACTTTGTAAAAGTTATAAGTCATTTAAGGAGTTACTATCCGCGAACAACGTGAAAATGCTATAATACTTTCATATTTTAACCAGTGAGAAATTTGCTGTATATCTTACATTGTACCTACACCCCCGTCATTTAGTCGACTAAAAGACTTGTAATCTCTGAGTTGTCACTTTTTAATTGTGCAAATATTGCAATAAAATGTATTTTTCATAAGATTTGACCTGGTCATTCAAATATATCGATCACCTAATTTACATGTTTTATAATAATCTTACAATCTATCGTAAAGCTAAATACTGGGAAATCTAGGTGAAATCACCATAGCTATTTGTGTATTTTCTTCATTTATTCTTTGGAGAGAAGATAAACAGATACGATTGATTTCATGAACAATGTGTATGCATTGTATGATAAAAAATACATCATATCACACGTTTATTTCGTGTTTAGGACTCTTCACCTAATCAGTTAAATGACATTAAATAGGGTCATTATCATTATTTCAGCTAAAAAGATATTAAACAGTTTACATAAAACCAACAGATAAAGTAACACTTAGTTATGAAACAGTACTAACCTTGCTTTTTAAAGTGTCACATTTTTGTTGGAGAATAGGTATAATAGTTACCGCAGAATCCACGGTCATTGTGCAGAATAATTACTTGCAATAATAAGCTTACAATAAACTGACTTGAATATAAACAGAACAAGTAGAGTAGTTGTTTTTATCCGAAAAAATATAAATAAATAAAAAAGGAGACACAGGGTTTTAAAACTTTAAAACATTAACTCTAAAATATCAATTTTCTATGTGGTCACAACTAAATTCAATCAGAAATGGAATTTTTTGGGAAAATGACCCATACACATTATGCAAAAACATAATACTTCTAATGAATTTGATATGTTGTTCCACATTACAAATAGGGGAGAAAAACTATGACATATGAACAATAAACAATAATTGTTGTGACAACGGTAGTAGAGAAATAAAATATTAGGGACAGTATATTAGACAAAAAGTAGAAAACATAATAAATAGTCAAATGTACATTAAAACAAAGTGAAAAATGTGCCATCAAGATCAAATTTGTGTCAAATTAAGTGGACTCTTATTACTTTCGGATTCCACAAATTCCACATTAGAAAGTACTACCATGTGAGAGCGATGATAAAAAGACGCTCTGTGATCATATAATTGTTATTACTGAGCAGCTGCATCAGTTCAAACACCCGGGTAGTATTTCAGCCCTAGCACAAATCGAATTTATGTGGTGCATATATATTTGGTGTCTCCTTGCACCAACAGTTACGTTTAGACAAATAAAAGAAAAATAATAACTATTCAGCCACTGTGCGTACTATTAGATAAAAGTAGTAGTACCATTGTCCTGGAAAACCTGAATAGAGATAGCAGAACTACATAAAATGAAGAATATTTATAAATTGAGCACTTTTTCTAGCTACAATATTTATGCCCCGAATGAGTGACTACAGTGGTTCATGTAGAATAAAACATACATTCCATAGGTAACTAGATATCATGCAACACAACTAGTGGAATGAGCTGAAAATAACTAAACAAGCTTTTTGCACTCAAACCGACCTTCTACCAGAGATGAAACACCACAGATAGCACCACCGTTCAAATCAGTCATGTTCATTCTTTTCAGTCTTTCCTTTACGACTGACGTTGAATCGTTGAGATCTATGTGTTCAAATTAGTTACTTTTCAAGAATGTGTTCAAACGCCAAAGGGATTACCACCATTTTTTTGTTATTTATAACAGACCCATAACCCTTCCTACAGTTAACAAACAAAACACTAGTTTGACATGACAGACGTTTGCTGAAAGTAAAAATTATGAAATAATGTGATTGATGGGTCGCTTCAGTAAGATCTACTAGGCTCTAAACCAGAAGTCCGACTTGAACATTGAGGCTTACCTTTCATAGCTCTGACACTACAAGAATAACATAGTGGTCAGAAACGCCGACCTAGAGGTGGTGTGCCAATGATAAACTATGGGTACATCTTTTTTATTTGATTACATTTGATCGAATCAGGACAATGATCACTTACGGTCTTACAAAGACATACGATTTCAATGAAAAATTCAGACAGGATAGTGACTTAAATCTTAAGCCAAATATGGATTCTTTGGTAGGAACTTATCCATCTATGTCACTTGCCATAAAAAAGAGAGTACAGGTTTAAATGACCTGTACAAACCTAACAACTATTCACATAACATTTCAATCATTCCACAGTATTTAACTGGAAGTCACGTTTAAATTAAGTAATATGTAACCAGTTTTCTTAAATCTTTTCGGTCGACTTAAAAGCTATTTACATTAGTTGGTACACAACTCACCACAATACGTTATATATTTTAGCCACCAAAGTTTACTACTGGTATTAAACGGGAAGATTTATCAGTTGTGGGTGTGATTATATCTTACTAAACTCCAGAACTTTTATCAAATATGCCTTAACGTTATCATTTGCCAGATATAACGTTAGATCAAAAACGGTGGGATCAAAAACACTCAACAACCCAAAGTGGGAATTCGTTCCGTCTAATCCGAAATGTTGGCAACTACTTCACAAACAATGTCCAATTTGTTTGCGATCACGACAATGTTCATCAACTAATATCACATTGACAGGTAGACCTTTCTCTGAGAACTTAGTGTGTGAGACAAATTTTCACAGTTAAGCCCGTCTGATTCTTTGAAGGGTTCTATTAGGCTAATGTGTACGAGATGTTTGTGTTTTAGTGAGATTGTCCGGCTAATCCAAGTGGTCTATTTTACATGGTTCATCAAGTAGAAAGATGTATTTCCGTGCAGATGAAATGGATTTACTGAGAAATAATAACTATTTACGTGATCTTTACTCTGTGGTGTGATTCATATCAGTACACAATATGTGGATTCGTGTTACCCAACGTAAGAAAATATAAAGATTTAGGGGTCATACTAAGCAGCGATCTCGAAACTGTCACTGTGAGGCTACTACTGCAAAAAACTGTGGGGTTTCACGGTCTATTCACAGGCCTCCCCAGTATTTGAGTGATGAAATGTTTAGATTATTATACCCGACTTAGGTGCGATATTATTGCAATATGCGATTCAAGCAGCGAGTCCTTGTTTCAAGTATGAGATGGATTTGCTAGGACGCGCCCAACGATGAGGGACTAGGATGGTAAGTCTATCTGGTTGAGACACCTCAACTAATTTCCATTGTCTCACTACAAATTTCGGGTTGATCTAACATTAGTTCACCGTATATTGAACAATGACGTATTGAAGATGCCACATGTACTCGGAGTTTGACAATGCTTTAACCAGTAACACCTCCTATTATGAAGTGTACGCACCAAGTGAAATCAAAAGACAGAAGCGAGGAGGTTCGTAGATATATTTGATAGACTATCAATATATCAAGGATCGTCTGATCTAATCTAACTAGCGATTGCAGGGATGTTGAGCACGGCGTTCCCGCTCATGATTTTGTGCGGATGCATGGCCGAGAGCCTTCAGCTAGGTGAGTCCATTAAAACTAATGTGGTCAGCATCCAATGTCAAAAACTTACAGGTATATTTATTTTGAGGATTTATTTACCGCTACACTATGTATTAATATGTCTTATCTTTTCCTTCCGTCTAGGACTGATCATTAGAGATCAAATCGTTTACGTCTGAAGTTTCGTTTCCCACACCGAGTAGTGAATTACTGGAATTCTCCGCTACAACACGTAATGTCAGCACCTTCTGTTGGTATAGCCCAAACAAGATTGAAACTCCAGTGTTACAAACTGCAAGGATTATTATATGTCGATAGACCTCCTATTCTTATTACTGAAAGGTAATGTTCACCTCACCAGTGTAGATCACCAACGTAGATGATCTATGTCGAGTAATTAGGGGTCTAATTGAGTTAAACGGGAATGGCGTGACCAGCTAACTTCGAATTCGCACATTTTGGTCAGCACCTAACGTGGGTTAAACTGTCGTCGTTGCAAGGTACCATGGCTGCTTTGAAGACAGTATAACACAAAGCATGTTTTTACAGGAATATATTGGTGAGAGTAGGTACAAGGAAGAAGGTGCGATCACCACCGCATGGACCAGTCCATAGCACGCGGTTGCCTAATGTGGGGTTCTTGTCCTTGACCTTGATGGGGGTCGACGGCCTGTTAGTTATTCAATGACCCAACTGCCGGATGGTTTGGCTAGGGCTCAGAGGCATCTCATTTTCTCTACAAGTGCAAGAACACACGAAGGCAGTTGGAGGCTTCCTCTTTATTACTCCCCTTATATAACAGCATAACCATCCTCTTTTGAAGTTTAGGTGTACGTTAATTACCGGCTAAGAAACACATGAAGAGGGTGCCAAGCGTAAAGTAAACAAGATCCTTTTATTGCTTCGGGACTATTTGTTGAGCACCATGTTAGGCGGTTGAACTGTGTGGATTGAGTGTCTCAGAATCCACTTGATTCTGAAATCTTCGAAGTTTACAGAGCTCAGGTCAACGTGAGAAAAAGTAGGATAGAGGGAATTAAATAAACTTATGACAAAAAGAGGGCAACTGAGTTGGATATCTTTAGTCAACAACTTTGTAACCTTACTGATGGGTGGTATTTGAAGATGAAATGTCTCGCACAGTTTCTTAATAATATACTAACGATGACACTACTCGAGTATTTTGCTAAATAAGTTCGAAAACAAATTAATCTGTGCCCGGAGTTGTTATGCAGAGGAATCGACTGGGAGTGCTAACGATTGTTTGTATAACATAATAGAGAAAGGTAAGATACCAGGTTTTAGGGGATATTCGCAGATTAAAAGAATCTTCCGCCTTTTTCAATGTGGTCTTGAGCTTACTCCATTTCGCTACAGTCAATTAGTCTACAATAAGTGATCAACTTTTACATGGTTATTCTAACCTTAAAGCTGAACAGGGTGGGTGAGATTTTCGTCAGAAATACGTCACCCTATCACGACGGTTCGTCAAAGAATGGAAGAACTTAGTTTTCGTAAAATTAAAAACACTGAACTTGGCGAAATCGTATTTTTTCAACAAATTCGTCAACAAGTCGTACGATCGTCTATAAATGAAATATTCTAACTATTTGTTTCCTGTTGACATGCAGTCAAGCTTTAGCTAAGATTGTTTTAATAATAAAGATGCCGTATATATTCAGAGTTCGACAACGTCTTTATACTTAATAACATAATAACCGAGCTATACCAACACTGTGAAATCAAAAATTAGAAATGAAGTGATCCGAAGATAAATTTGAAAGGCTACCGATATATAGATATTTTCGGTTAGTTGAAAGGGTTGCTTTCAGCTAGGTCTGTGCAGAAAGACCAGTAAGGTTAGCGCCGATGGAGAGGGCCTATAGAACTGTTTATTTTGAAAGTTTATTTACCGAAACAATGATGTCAAAACATTCTAGCCCAAGTATCTATCTACATGTCAGCTAACGTGATTCTTTGAGCTGCAGCATTGATGTTGTAAATTTTGAAATAATGTAGCTCAAAGAATCAATTGCGCCGACATGTAGATACATACTTGGGCTAGAATGTTTCGACTTTTTTATATGCTTAATACTTCATATTTCGTACAATCGTAACCTGCACGAGGGGCCTGAGTAAATTTAGAATCGATGTCTCTCCAGGCGGTAGATATTCGTATCACAGAGTTGACTTCATCAATAACGATGATAAATGAATGGTACAACCTGAATTTGAGATTTATTCTCGTGAATGACGCTCAGGCTAATCACTATTATGTAATGGCTCTAGTAATAGTTATGTTGGACATTCACTTAGGCAGGCATTCTGTTCTACTCAATGTTCGCAAATAGGATCAAGTATTTATTGTCAGGCAGATAAAGGAAGGCAAATAAGGATAACGAATAGAGTAAGTGTAGCTACTAGAAATATATTCGAGTTCCAGAACAGTACGCTACGCGATTCATTCTTCTAAATAGTGACAATTATGGATTGATATAACCAAAACAGTGAACTGATGAAGAAGTTTGGTAGTGTAAAGTCTAAGTAAATAGGCTATACAGTAAATCAAATCGTCAAAATGGGATTCAACCAACTTTTCAGGAAATAACAGTGTTTTGGTCAAGTAGAAAAAACGGTTCTAATCCACTGAACGATGATTATTTTTATTATCGTTAGCTTTATCGAATAAATATTGAGTGATCGTCACTTAGATGTTAGTTATCCAGTGAATCGACATCAAAATAATGTACATTCTTGTTGTAACGGGATGTGTGACTGCAGGCTTTTGATAAGCAGCGTTATCTATCGATCGCGATCTGTGACAGTGACACGGAAAACACGTACGGACGACCTAGTGCCCTGATTGGCCCTGCTTCGCTGTCCGTCCTATCCCAGTTGAGTGAAGAACACAAGTCACAGCCTCAGAGTTATGAATCATTGTATTTCAAACATACTCTATTTATATACCAAGCAAACAAACCACATCGTACCATAAAATAGGAAACAACATTTGTACAATATTTAACAAGTGAAATAAACATCGACCAATAAGAATGTACATTTAAGGTTTAAGGACACCATTGGACTTAACATGATAATTATTGGTCTCTCTTTCCGACTATCCTAACACCTCCCCGTTTTTAAAAAAGAAGATCCGGAGTTAATATCTGGATTTTAAAATTTTCTGCGTCCGTCCTCCCCCGCGAAATAACGTTGGGTCCTCATATACCCAAGTAACAGTTAGTCTGACTCTATTTAAAGCATATTTCGCGCATTGAGTAGAGGGTTCACTAAAACTGACTAGATGATGAGGATTAGCGACACCAGACATGAGGTCATTAAGGTTTGATTTTGGTGCAACATATTCTTCAGACCTCTCCAGAATTCCATCACTGGATAATAGGTCACTAAAATAGACAGCATCTTCGAAATTTGCATTTGATTTCTGACCATTATTTGATGCACGGGAAACATTTTCTGGCACGAGAGGTTCTTCTTGTAAGCTGGATAACTCACATGTTTCAGGCACAGTGGGATTTGAACCCACAACAGGGCATGCTTCTGAATTGGGCACTTCTGGATCGCTGGACGGATTATGAGCGACTCCCTCATTTGCATTACTGATCATAAGGGATTCATAGAGGCTTTTGTTTTTATCTTCATATGTCCTGCAGTCATTCTCGAGTTCAGTTTGTAGGTGAGAAATGAATTCATCAGTTTCTTTCACATCTCCAAAACATGGGAGATCTAGCAGTCGCGTTCGCAAATAGTCCAAAACACGCTGTTGCTGGCGATATAGTAGTAGCTGCAATTGATCAGGAAGGCTAGTCATTTTCTGAGTCAGCAGGGTAATGAGAAATACTGTAATGGATTAATAACCAATGATTCCCAAGGACGCCGATGACAAATCTGGATACTGATTGGTCAAAATAATTATGCTGAATCTCGTCCAATTAGAGGGTTCAAAATTTTCTCTACCCCGTCGCCAATTGCTGTAACGGGATGTGTGACTGCAGGTTTTAGATACGCAGCGTATTTATCGATCGCGATCTGTGACAGTGACACGGAAAACACGTACGGACGACCTAGTGCCCTGATTGGCCCTGCTTTGCTGTCCAGCCCAGCCAGTTGAGTCCAGAAGACAAGTCACAACCTCTGAGATATGAATCCTTGTATTTCAAACATACTCTATTTATATACCAAGCAAACAAACCACATCGTACCATAAA